CAAACGCTACGCGCACGGGTCAAGAAACCTCAGTATGTGTCCTTTTTTGGCCTTCTCAAAGCCAGGACTCCGCATAGGAGGCGGAGAGCAAGTCCACCTTGTCTGAGAAAGAAGGGTCTCCAAGCAAGGAGTCGCGACACTGCCTCGACTCAAAAGTGCGCCGCAAGGGCGCTAAGGCCGTGCCTTGTCCGTTGCAGCGCTGCCAACCTTACCGTGGCATACGTGGCGTCTGCGCCCTCTCGCGTACGACGTGCTCTCTCGCGTTTTCCCTCTCCTCGCAGCGCTGTGTCTCTCCGTCATACCACGGCCAACTCACAAGTTAAATTTCAGTGTTCTCCATGACGCTTCTTGCTTTCTCCTCAGAATAACACACCAATTCAACTCCGGCCCGGCCTTTAACGGTTTCAAAGCCTGGGTACACGACGGCTAAACTGCAATATCCCTGGTGCAGCGCGTATTGGTTGAATCCATCCATCGAAGCAAAAGCGGGTGCAAAACTTGACTGGAGTATGTCAGTTTTGAAACACAGTGGCCACGTACTCATTTTGAACACGGTGATGCGTATTGCACCTCGCGGTAATCCTTTGGTAATCGACTGTAATGGCTGAACCCGGGGAAGGGGGATTTGGGGTGCGTGACATTTCATTTTCCCCGAACCCCCTCTCCCTCCTGGGCTTAGTCTTAGGGGCCGCAAATGAAGGGATAATCCGAATCAGCCGAGAAAAATGGAGGGATTAATCTCAAGTAGCACCAACTACGTACACTTGAGCGCCTACTGTATTCGAAGCACCCTCTGGCCTGGTTAATAATTAAAAGCACTGTGAAACTCGGGTTCTGGGGGGGGGGGCTTGGCAGAGCAGACGAAAACAGCGCCACGCCATCGCGTGGCCCCTCCGAACCCGAGTTTCACCAAAAGCACCGCAAAGTTACTCCCCCATAAAGTTTCCAGCAGTGATCATATCAGAAGCACTAACCCAAGGAAACAACGGAGTGCGTGAGCTAACAATAAGTCGCGCGCAATATCGCGCTCCAAACGCCAAATATCTGCTCCAACGACACTTTACAACTTGCTTTGAAAATTTCGTCCTTTCACCTCAAGTTCGGTTTTCCTCGAATATCGCTGGTAGTGACGATTGTCGCTCATCCATCACACATCACATCATATCCTTTCTCTATCACTCGCAATTGCTATTATTTGACTCATTAGTTTTCTTCCTTCTTCCGAATATTTGTATAGTTTTGTTTAACTAATCTTGCACTTCCCATTACAATTTCGACTCTGTCTTTATTTTTCATTCAAATTAAATGCCTTTTATGATTTATGGGGTTTTTACGTACTTTTGTATATATTCCCTTCTCCCATTTATCGCGATTTAATTCTTGCACAGCGCAAAGTTCGTACATTCTATAATGTGGCGCTCATGTTCTGAGCGGGGGGGGGGGGGGGGACTTCCAAGTGAGCAGGCCAATTATTGTTCCTGGGACTGAGCTTTAGTGAGGGAAAGGGATCCTGGGGGAGAGCAATCGAAAAATGTGCTTCTCCTGGGATTCTCCCCTTTACTGATTGTGGCTGAAATAATTCCCCCCAAGGTGACACGAGGCCTTTGACAGGACTTTAAGTAATTTCGTCGTATTTTGTTTATAATATAGGTGCTATATAAGACACATATCCTAATGATTCTGGTGGATTGATTTTGTAAGAAGAAAATTCTGAAGGTTAGTTGTAAAGTGTTAATTTGAGTGATGCTTACACGTGAGAGAATTTCACAGTTACAGCAGTAATGAAGGCCTTTGTTGAGACTCACTTTGAGAAAAGAGCAACAATTATGTTTGAATCCTTCAAAGGGCGATGTACCGCGGATGCCTCGAGAGTTGAGCGTAGGTGGTGCATGTGCATTACTGGAATGTAGAAAAACGAATCAATCAGCTCGCATAGGAGGTGTTTGCTCGCAGAAATCAATTGACTTGTCTCCGAGCAGCAGTTTCTTCTCCCCTTCTGATGCTTTCAGGTAGCGGTAAATTTCGTCTTTTTCTATCTTTTTAGACGCTCGGAACATTGATTCTGCTGGCCGAAAGAGTCCCCACTTTCTTCACGATTTGGGGCGCGGCCGCGGCAAACCCGGCCGAGTATGCGCTATCAGCTTACCTGAGTATTCGACGTTACATTACGGCATCAGCTTGCCTGAGTATTCGACGTTACATTGCGATACGTAATGTAACGTCGAATACTCAGGTAAGCTGATGGCGCATACTCGGCCGGGTTTGCCGCGGCCGCGCCCCAAATCGTGAAGAAAGTGGGGGAGCCGCGTAACATCTGAACTCGAATATACCACATAGATTATAATCTGTTGGCTTTGGTTGTAGCATGTCGTGGGCGGTTGTGTGATCTGGAGACTTAGACTATGGATCCACCCTTAATAATTTGAAATTTTTTTGAAGAGTGTAGTACCAATTTGCGCGGAAAAATATCTGAGCGAGATATTGGTGGAAGTCCAAGTGGTTAATTGGAACTTAATTTCCTATCAACTAATTTATGTGGTACAAGAGTCTCGGGTCATTAAGAATTGGAAAATTGTTCTTTCATCAAAGTTCTAGGGAATGATATCACCTTGCTTCAGATCATCATTTTTTGTACCTTGAACCTTTTTATATTACTTATTAGTGTAGATGGCTTCGGAGATTGCGATAGGTGGAAAAATTTATGTGATCGTCCCGACGTTGTTGATAGCAACGTCATTTTGAGGCCGAATATCTTTCACAGTTTGCGCGCTCACCACAAGCGGTCTCATATATGCGATTGTTGTCCTTGACGTGAGGCCTTGGACCCCGATTCAACAAAGTGTTCCTTCTTTCAACCTTCCCAGAGCACAAAAAATGCTGAAATGGAATAATTACCACCTAATCCGCTGTACCAAGCGGTTTGGGTACCAGCGATATGATATGCTCCAGATGCCCCTCTATCTACCGAGCCTCCAGACCATTTCCGTAATATTTCAGTAGGATGCACAATCAGCACTTGCACTTTCATTTCGGGCAACGACCTGCAAAACGATTATCGCAAACACCCTTGAGTGCGTTATCGGAACGTCACTAATCTGTCATCTTGATTGTTGCAGGATTTGGCGTAACCGATTTGATCTTGTTTGTCGTGTTGCTTTGGATCGCTCAATCATTGTGTTAAAATAAGTTCACAACTCAAAATAAATAGGCTTAATGATAAAGCACAAAAATCCATCAGTCGGCTCGGTCAGTCTTTGGGATACGCCATGCTTACTTTTATTCAGGAATCTTATGAATTGAGATGCTCTTGAACATAAAGAATTAAGACGTTCGCTGTGATCAGCTTTCTGGGGACACGCATTTTACTTCCATTTCTACACTTTTAGTGGAACTTGAATGCGAAGCGATTGGCTTTGGCCTATCAATGATGTACAAGCCAGTCTGCTTATTCCGACAAGTCTAGATACAATTAACCGCGGAGGGTGTACGTTGTCTTAGCTCCGGGGACGATGCCGACCGAGGCAGGATTCGATCCGGAAACGCTGGATGGTAAGAAAGAGCGCTTGGCAACTGGGCATAACTTGCCTATTGCAGATGCAATGATTGTGAGGGTTAGCTGATGTTAAAACCGTGTTTATTTCAATCAGTCCAATTAAGGGACGGGGATGGAAGACTTGACCGGCCCTAATGGCGAGTTCCTCTCTGGATTTGGTCCGTGAGCCGTGCGCATGGTAAACAGCGCCACTTGCCACTACACCACTTTTACCACTAAATTTAATGATTTATACATATAATATTAATATTATATTAGTTTAAACGTAGGAGAGTAAAAATGATCTAGAGTAATATTAAGAATAGAAACATTCATGAATTTGTTTGCGAAATGTAAAGCTTAAGAAATTTCGTGGGGAGTCGGCTATTTTCGAGGACGCTGCCCCCAGTAATAGCCGTTCGGCTATGCGGAGTTGCATTATAGGAGATTATAGTAGGGAAGTCCCGGCGATGTCCGGCGATTGCAATTAAAATTGTGAGACTTAGTGCGGATTCATGGTGTGTGATCTACTATTATGGTGCGAAAGCTGCAAGCCAGAAATCTCGGTTCTGTTCTTGCCTTTAGACCTATTAAGAATTTCGCGCATAATACATGGTTAAATGTTTCGCTGGAGTTAAAAGTTGTTTGTCACAGTCTTTCCTTGAAATAAATTTTATAAGAGTGGAAACGCTAGACGGGATTTTCGGATCATTCCTTCAATATTTCTGTAATGGAATGAATAACTTGAATTCGGCTTTCCGAATTTCGTGAGAATGTTTGATGCAGGCTTTCCATTTCCAAGTTTTTATCATTCAAGCAATGCTAGAGCTGCAGCTGCCCTTCATATCTGTCGACCTTCTCCGAACAAACAGTAACCTTTTTCTACTGAATGAAACTATAATATATAGCAATTGGTGCCGCTTGGCACGCGTACGCTCCGTAGGTCAAATGATGGATCGTGGGTCCGTCCAGGCCAACCAAGCCTCCTATCCCCACAGGATCGACTAGTAGTAACCTTGTCTGGGAGGAAGCAAATACTAACTTTCACGTAGGTTACCCACCCTATGCCATAGTGTAGGCCGAATCTCACTTAAGTATCGTTGTTTTTTACATGAAAGTGGAATACATGGAGCATCCCTAGGCGTAAAATGCTTTTTCCCTTATCGTTCATCCTTTCACTACACTTCATCTTAGATTCTTACATCATTGTATGTGCTTTTGGTCCTCACTAATTTCATTTTGTAGTCACAATATAGCTTAAATACTTCGATGATTGTGTTCTTTTTTGAGAGAGCGGCAGTGTTTTATGCATTTTGCACTCAGCTGGCTTATTACTTCATTCTTCCGGGTCTAAAACTGGTTCCAACTGTTTGACAAACATTTCTTTGTGTTGTTGCTGCCGCTCGTCTGTACAACGCGTCACAGCGATGTTGAACGGGATCAAAAATAAAGTTTTTTTTCTTAGAAAATGACAGCCATCGACTTGGAGACCTTTCCTTTGCACAAGGCGGCGTTTTTCAATGACGTACATTCGATATCGCAGCTCATCAAAGCGGGTGAGTTTTTCCCTCTCAGGCCTGCTCGTTTTACGATTTTTTAAACAATTTATAGAGTAGAATGCTGTCTTTATTTTCTTTTCTAGGGCGTAGTTTATACGAGCAGGATATGCATGGTAATACAGCACTTCACATATCAACAATGCTTGGTCATCGAGGTTCGTTACTCCGTTATTGTCCATTGTAGAAGATAGCAAAGTGAGATTAGTTCCCTGATAATGGGATGTTGGGGTGTGGGTACTTAGGACAGAACGCGACTTTTTCGCTCTTCGCAACGCGACATCGCGCGGCAGGCTGGCGCACCCGCAGCGAAAACAACTACGGTATATAAGAACGCGCGATTGGAGCGCGATATTTGTGTCGGCTTTGATTGCGACAAGGAGTTTGAAGCTTAATAGCCATGGATTTGATAATGAACGAGGAAATGGTAACCAGAAGTGGACCGCTAACTAGCAGTGAAGAGGGAGGTAGGTTATTTTTGCAGAGATGGATGGTAGAGCTTCTGGAGAACCTGGAAGAGGAATGGTTGATGGACGTTTGATGAGACGACTGTAAACTTCTGCATAGGGGTTATTTGGGGCCCTGATCATGAATATGACACTCATTTTTCACATTCGTGCTGTTTAACGCATACTTTCTGCTTTTCTAAGCTTTCTCACCTACAGCGCCTACGACTAAGCTTAGGGGAGGGGAGTGAAACTCCGGAGTGGGTAAACCACGCACCGTGTGGCAAAAGTTGGAGTGTGTCAGACCACAGGGAATGGCCTACCCACTTTGGAGCCCTACACTACTCAAAGGCTTAGTCCTATTGCGATCTAATTAGTGCGAGGGCGCAGACGAGCAGGAAGCAGGCGCCGAATAGCGCTAACAACAAATCAGGACCCCGAATAACCCCTATACAGAAGTTTACAGCGAATTTAGTGGGAATCAGTTGTGGCGCCACCCGGCCCCAAATGGCGCCAGCGTCAAAAATGAGTATCATATCCGTAATGAGGACAGAAGCGTTCCGTAAAAGATGTTATACCCTTATGCAGATGTCTATACAATATGAACCCACAAAATGCAAGCACAAGCGACACTATTAAACCCTCGTTCACCGATAATTCGTAAAACACCATTTTAGTGGCATCGCCCGGAATCGTGTAAGTCACAAAACGTTTTCAATAAATGAGACAGAATTAGTGATTCACCGCATTTATCAATACAATGGGTGTGAGCGCGGGCAAGTAAGGAATCAGAAACTTACAAATTCACGCATGCAAAAAAGCTGCTCCAATCGCGCGTTCTTATATACCGTAGTTGTTTTCGCTACGGGTGCGCCAGCCTGCCGCGCGATGTCGCGTTGCGAAGAGCGAAAAAGTCGCGTTCTGTCCTAAGTACCCACACCCGTTTAGTTCCCTGATAATGAGATGTTTATTTTTAAATACCTGGAGGTGGTTTGAATTTTTGAGCGAAGCAAGTTTTATCTTGTATGCTGAAAAAGCTGTGTAAAGGTTGCTCGTACGTAATTCACCTCTATATCCTGAAATATACTGGATCGTGTAATAAACAATCTAAGGTAAACGAAACTCATGTCTTGCACACAGCAGCCTTCGGTTTTTATTGAAAAAATTATTTTATAAATTTTAATTTTATTTAAATTTAAATTTTATTTAAATTTTTATTGAAAAAATTAAAAAAATTAGTTTATTATGTACATGTTTTTAATATTAAAATATTAAAAACATGTACATAAAAAACTAATTTGCCATTGTTTTCTCTATCTCGCTTTTATTTTTTTGTAACTAAAAGTTTCGAAGCTTGATATTGAGCTTTTAGGTAGTATTCATTTTCGGCACTATTCAACTATTACAACCCCAAAATCTCAAAATTTTATTTTTCGTCGAAACTTTGTCTATAGGGGTAATTCGGTGCCCTGATTACGAAAATGACATTCATTTTCAACGGGGCGCCAGGTGGCGTCACCTTGTCACGACAGTTGTTTTCACCAAACTCGATGTAAACTTCTGGGTAGGGGTAATTTGGTGTCCAGATTACGAATATGACATTCATTCTTGGCGCTAGCTCCATTTAGCGCTTTAATCTCTTCGTCTGCGCCCTCCTAGTGACTAGATCGCGATCAGGACTAAGCTTTAGGAGAGAGGAAAGATATCAGTGAGTGAGCCCCCTACCCTGTGATCTCACACGCTCCATCTTCGTCACACGGTGCCTGATTCACTCATTCCGAGTCTCCCTATCCCCTAAGCTTAGTCCCAAGGCGCTATGTATAGGTGAGAGAGCCCAGAAAAGCGGGAAGTATGCGGTAAACAGCGGTAATGTCAAAAACGAATGTCATATTCGTAATCAGGACATCAAATAACCCCTATACAGAACTTTACACCGAATTTGGTGAAAACATGTGTCGTGACAAGGTGGCGCCAACTGGCGCCAGATGGCGCCACCGCCAAAAATGAATGTCATTTTCGTAATCAGGGCACCGAATTACCCCTATAGAGGAAGTTTCGACGAAAAATAAAATTTTGAGATTTTGGGGTTGTAATAGTTGAATAGTGCCCATTTTCTCTTAGGGTAGCGTTGTCGTTCTTTGGAAAGCGTAAAGCAATTCATTCCACTTTTCAACTCATTGAATTTTCACCTCGTTTTCTGCAGAGGCTACCGCGCTGTTGCTGGCTCATAACGCACCGGTGAAGGTGAAAAACTGTGATGGATGGAATCCATTAATGGAGGCCGTCAGTTATGGCGACAGGCAGATAAGTAAGTCGATTGGTACTTATTTTTTGTGTGACTTAATCTTCTGTTGGAAGATCTTTCATGGCAAAGGTTCATGATTGAAGGAGTCAGATAATCAATTGTACTAGCTTTTTCGCATTAATAGGATTAAGGTATTTTCCCTGCTTTTGTATAGGCGATGTTTTTAGTAACGGAAATGTTGCGGAAATTGAAAGCTCAGTCTCGTATGGGGATGACAAGCCGTAAAGCGCATCTGATCAAAATGTTAGAGGGATATTGGCGATTTTTACCTCGAACTAAAGTGGGACTTCCAAAGTTGGAGTAAGTTTTGAAGCCCCAGTATTTCTTCGTTTTCTCTTCATTATTCACCACGATTTGCTTTACAGTTCCTCTGCTTTCACGAATGCTCCCATCTGATGTGTGTCAAAATATATAAGAAAGGTACTCAGCTGCGTATGGACACAACACTGGCGGATTTCAAGTGTGTACTTTCTTACCACCAAATCATTTTGTGGAAAACCTATAGCTCTTTACTTATTACCATATTCATAGATATTGTCTTCTTTCTGTGCTTCTTGATTATAATACCGAGTTTCTTTCTTACATTGAAGTATTTTAGTATTTTTTTAGTGAACGTCGATGGGAGCGAGGCGATATTTCTTTTGTTTTCAACGCGAAGGCCAAATACGAGAGCGATGAGTTGATCATAATGGATAACAATGCGAAGGTCACTTTTTTCCTAGCTCTTATTAGTATCAAAGCCTGTAGTGCGAAGGCAGAGATCAGAGACTGATGCTTTCCTTCTTATCTTACAAGGGTGTAGCTTTGTATCGCTTTATCACTCTCGAATTTCAAAATGAGATGTTATGAAAAAAGGAACAATTCATTCAAATGAAACCGTAGTAAATTTTGAGTTAGAAATCTTACTGAGAATGGAATTTGTCTTTTAAGCGCCCCTGTCTTGAATATTGCTGACGAGAGCTCTCACACGGTAGGAATAGCAATTTTTCACCAATTTGCTCCTAAGACTTACGGTCTCAAATTTTCGTCATACCAATCAAATAAAAATCATAGAAAAATTCCTCTTCCGTTTCAGGTGTTCCAGCGAGTTCGTCATGAAGAGTCTGAGGCCGAAGTTGATGAAGAAGTAGATGTGTTGATGTCGTCTGATATAGTGTCAGCCCAGGTTTGTCAAATAGTTGCCATGAGGTCAGTTCTTCATTATTTAATGCTTGAATTTTTCTAGATGTCAACAAATAACGATTCACTTTTGACAGCATTCTCAGAATGGTTTTAAACATGCAAAAGAGTATTTATTAGTTACTTCTTTCTGATTTTTTTTGGTCTGCAGTATTCCAATTCTTGACACTTTTCCATCTCTCTATACCTCTATATCAAAAATATTCCTTTGTTAGAATGGTCAAATCACTGCCTACTGAAAATAGGTCACCAAAAATTGCGTACTTTGATATAGATCTGCCCAAATTGAGCTTTCATCTGTCACCTTCTGTTTGTTACAAGTTTTTTTCATTTCCTGATTCATTGAGCTTGTCACATGCGCGGCATAACGTGAGTGTCGTGGGGATCCATACGTTCTATTCTAGGAGCAAATGGAGACTATAATGTCAATTTCTATCTGGTAGAAGGAATGAGGTTGGTATCGCGAAAGAGGCGAGAGCATCTCACTGCTGACGACATTAAAAAGAACAGTCTTCAATGAATTCGTTGCAAGTGGGCGGTCTGTTGTGATGGAGATTTCAAGTACTACGCTTAACAGATTCCAACTTTTATTTAATTCAAATTGCTTTCTTGATTTCCGCCGTGTGCGTTTTTCTTCAAATATTAATCTCCCGTCGAAGAGATTCGTCTTTAATATCAGAGCCTGCAGCATCGAAAGTCGTTAGCACCACCTGGCCGAATGCCAACAACGTGGGAGGAGTATGTGGGGGCAGCGCCTGGTGCAGCGCCACCTCTTGGAAGGGCACAGATCTTGAAACAGAATGAAAAGCAATTCACTGCTCTTATTGGAATGGTGAGTTCTTTGCTCCTGCACGATTTCCTTCAAGTCATTGATCCTCTTATTGCTTTTTACGCATCAGTTTCGATCGGATTGGTGGTGATTTTCCATAAACAATATTTAAAGACCGATGGCGGCATTCTATGTGTTGTTAAATAGGATATAATTGGTCTATGATATGAAAGATTTCAGAAAATTGATGAGTGTTCGCTAGTTTCCAATGTCTGGCTGATGACGGAACGATGATTGTTTTTCTTCAAATAAGGCTTTTCGGGATTGTACTCGACGTCCTACAGGCTTGAAGTCAGAGTCCGTCGATCCGCCGCAGGTTTTTTCGCTGATTTCGGTCGATTTCGCGAAACCTGCGAGGATACATAGTTGCCAGTGCCACGATGCGAGGCTGTTGTTCGAATCCTGCTGCGAATTTTGCTTGACAGTAAAGATTGGAAGATTTCTTGTTTCATGTTCAATGTCTATTAGTTCATTGAAATGCTCTTGAATCGTTCCTATTTTTTTCAGGAATCAAACCAAACCAATCACAAAAATTGCAAGTGCCCCATTTGAACAATTGAAACACTGGATATGAAACAAGTGGAATCATGAGCAGTCTCATTAAACCATAACCATCAAGCAGAAGTGGCGGCGGGATTGGAGAACACCTTGCAGTATTGATCGGGCACTTGTGATTTCCGTGACCCGTCGCGTGAATCGCGCAAATCGCGAAAATCGCAAAATCGCGAAATCGCGAAAATCAGCGAAACCTGCGACGGATCGCGGACTCTGACACCAGCCTAAGAGAGTTCCGGCTAGTCACCTCATCAGCACATAGCCGCTATTCTAGGCCAGTCAACTGTTACTTTCCGCTATTCGAGAAGCTCCAAGTAGTTGTCTGTTGTGCCGCTGTGTTGTCCTCTTATTTGCAATTAATAATATTTCTCACGAATATCGTAGCTCCTGTTCAATGTTTACTGTTAACGGCCCCGTCGCTGCCTCCTGGACTAGTCGCGCTCCAAATCCTGAAATCCTGCCCCCAGTAGTGGTTTCTACACGTTTCAGATTTGGTTGTTGATAGTAAAGTTTGAATTGTTCACTTCAGTAAACTTATCATCGAAACCAAATCTCTCGAAAATAGATTACTTTCGAAGTTTTTTTTTCTTTGAAGCGTTGCAAAAGCCAATGATGTCAAAGCTCATGACAGCTGGTGGGTATAATTTCTATTTCCACTGAAAAAATACTGGTCGGCATTGTAAATAATTGTTCATACGGTTTATTATTATTCGAAAACGTTTCTTATCGTTCTATGGAATAGGCTTTCATATAACTCTCGGTTGATCAAGATAGGGAATGATGCTTTTCTTGTACTTCCATGATAGTAATCAGCACGGTTTTCAGAGCGAAGATTTCCCAATGGGAGTAGATGTTCTGCTTGATATTCTTGAGATTGTCGCACCATTCAAGCACCTCGACAAATTGCGGCGTTTTTGTGAAGCGAGACTTCCACCTGGTTTTCCAGTACGCGTAGGTATGTCCTTGTTTCTACAACATTTCTACACATTGTTCAGGTTTTTTGAAGCAATTTTGGATCTGCTAACAAGTGTAGACAACTTTTATCTTTGTGGCAAAATCTTCCATTTGATTTCTTCTTCTTCTTCTTCTTCTCCTTAGCGTTAGTCCCGCGCAGTCGCAGGGTCCGCTGTCTTTGTCAGTCGTCGCCACTTCGCTCTGTCTAGGGCATCTCCTGCAGTGGCCGTGATTTCACCTAGGTCCTTCTTGATCACATCCTTCCACCTCTTCTTTGGGGCTCCTCGCGGTCGCTTGCCTTGCACTTCGAAGTCCATCGCATTCCTTATCGGGTGGCCTTGCGGTCTTCTCAGCACATGTCCATACCACCGCAGTCGTTGCTCCCTCACCTTTCAGCTGGACAGGGGCAGTCTGCATGACCGCTCTGACATCCTCGTTCCTGACCCTGTCCAGTCGCGTCCAGCCGCAGGCCCACCTCAGCATCCTCATCTCAGCGGAGTGAAGCTGCCTTTCGTGATTCTTGTTGACGTAAGCAAACCAGCCCTTTTGGCGCATCGGCTGGGACCGTATGCTGAATGTTGGGGAGGGGATGGTGTCCCCGACGGTGGACGACAACCACTTCAACGCGGTCCTTAGAACCGCCACAATTTGGCGCTTACCTTAGAACTAAGCCTTAAAGAGAGGACGGGTCCGTCCCCTCTCCTAGGCTTAGTCCAAGGGTGAGCAGACCGGTCCTTCTGGCGAAGCTACTGGACCAGCTGCACCACTTGCGTCAGTACTCTCCTATCGTACCAACCGAGTTGAAGTAAACCGTCGACCGTTGGGGACCCCATCCCCTCCCCAACATTCAGCATACGGTCCCAGCCGATGTGCCAAAAGGGCTGGTTTGCTTACGTCTTCTTTGTTCGTGGAACATGCACTCGCTGCCGATAGGAGCATCGCAGGCCTTACCACTGTTCGGTACACCTTCCCTTTGAGCGCTCTGGAGCACCTTCGGTCGCAGAGGATTCCAGTGGACTCCTCCATTTCATCCATGCCGCGTTGATCCTCCCCATTACTGCCTGGTCCACACTGCCGTCGGCCGCCAGATCACTTCCAAGGTATCGGAAGTCCTCTACTCTTTCGATGCTTTCACCATGCCCGTCCATGATCGGCTCTGCACCCTCTTCAGAACTCAGGAACTTGGTCTTCTTGACATTAGCCGTAGTCCGCCTTCTGCCAGGACCTTCTGCCATTGCTGCACCTTGGCCTGTAGTTCCTCTCTACTATCCGCTATCAGGGCGATGTCGTCAGCGTAGAGGATGGTCTTTAGCGGTCCTTCCATGAGCCCTTTCACCAGGACATCTAGTGTCAGGAGGAAGAGGAACGGGCTCAGAGCCGACCCTTGGTGCACCCCAACCGTGATGTCCACTTCCTTCGTTAGGCCGTGTGGGGTGCGTATAGCTGCCTTCGCCCCATCGTACATATCCTTCACCAGCGAGACCAGGTGTTCTGGCACGTTCCGTTCCCTAAGCGCTCTCCATAGTACCGCTCGTGGTAGCCGGTCGAACGCCTTCTCCAGGTCGAGGAAGGCTAGGTAGCAGGGTCGGCGCTTTTCTCGATACTTCTCCATCACTTGCCTTGCGATGAAGATGGCATCCGTTGTAGACCTTTCGGGCATGAACCCGAACTGTTCCTGGGAGATGGGGACCAGCTCCCGCAGTCTTCGAGTCGACCAGTCGCTCGTACAGCTTCATTGTATGAGCAGTCAACTTGATCCCGCGGTAGTTGGAGCAGTCCATCGCGTCACCCTTCTGCTTGAAGATGGGGACGATAGTGCTTGTTCTCCAGGCATCTGGCATCCTTCCTTCCGCAGTTATGTTGTTGAGGAATCGTGTGAGCCATCCTTATCCCGTACTCACCGAGCGCCTTCCATGCCTCGATTGGCACCCCATCTGGACCAACCGCCTTCCCAATCTTCATCCTCCCAAGTGCACACCTAACCTCATCCTCAGTCCAGAGTGCGATGGGACCAGCTGTGGCCTCTGCCCGTGAGTTGTTCTCGTGGGGGAACTCCTCGTTCAGAAGTGCACTGTAGTACTCTTCCCACCTCCTCTTGACTTCGGCTGGCTTCCTTAGGATGACACCATCTCTGCCTTTCACACTTTTCACCACCCTGATGTCTTGGGTAGCCCGATGCCGGGCCTTGGCCAGTCTGAAGACGAACTTCTCTGCGTTTCTGCTTTCCAACTTCTCGTACAAGGCGTCCATCTCCGTGTTCTTCGCCTTGGCTACAGCGGCCTTAGCGAGCCTCTTGCAACTCCTGTAGGTAGCGAGGTCTTCGGGGCTCCGGGTCTTCTGCCAGCGCTTGTATGCTTCCTTCTTCTGCTTCACGACTCGCTGGACTTCCTCGTTCCAGAACCACGCTGCCTTGTCTCCTCTGATTCCACCTCGGGTCTCGCCCAGTACCTCCTTGGCACATCGCAGGATGGTCTCAGCCGTCTTGCTCCATGTTCGCTGTATTGGCCCGTTAGGATTTGGGAGACCAACTTCCATTATCCTTCGTTTGAGGTCATCTTTCTCCGCTTGGTGCAACTTCCACCACCGGATTCTCCGCTCGGTTCTAACCCTTGTCTTCTTCGGGAGGTCCATGGCAATGTCTGCCAGGAGGGGCCTGTGCTGCGGAGCCAATTCCTCGCCAGGGAGTACCTTGATGTCTTTTACCGATCTCAGGGATGATCTTCTTACGAGCACATGGTCGATTTCCGTATGTCGTCCCCCACTGCTGTAGGTCACCTTCTGAGTCTCCCCTTTTCGCGAAGAACGTGCTGCAGATTGCCAGATCGTGGGCCGTAGCCAGGTCCAGGACCCTCTCTCCCTCGGCGTTCCTCACTCCTATCCCTCTACCTCCGTGCACCCTTTCCCGGCCTCTCCTGTCACTGCCGACGTGGCCATTCAGATCACCTGCTACGGTCAGGTAATCGCCTTCCGGAATCGTTCTTATGGCTTCGTCCAGGCTCAGGTAGAACTCGTCCTTCTCACTTTCGGGGCATCCGGCTTGCGGTGCGTACACGGAGAGTATGGTCCAGTACCCCTCCTTCGTGTCTATCCTCACAGCCATGATCCGATCGCTGATCCTGTTCACAGCGGAGACATAGTCCTTGAGCGACTCCGCTACCGCTATGGCCACACCGTTCCGCTTGGTGTCTTCTCCATTGTAGTAGAGCTTGACACCTTCCCCGATTTCCCTGGCCTTAGCACCTTTCCATCGCGTCTCCTGAAGGCATAGGACTTGGATATTCCTGCGCGTCATCAGATCAGCAACCTCTCGGGACTTCCCAGTTAGCGATCCTACGTTCAGAGTCCCTATTCGAACTAGCTTCTTTGGCCGAGGCCGTTCACTCCTCGGTAGCCCTCGCATACTGACCACAGAACTCGGGCGAGGGTTCTGCGCGCCACTTCCGGGTGACGTCCTAGCTTTATCACTGATATCTTTTTCGACTTTAGACATGTTTTGTGTGACTGGGGTGTTCATCAGCCGGCCTGTCAACCTGGGCCTGACGCTGGTACTAGAACCATTTTTGCAATTTTTTGCAAGGCATGGTTTACAGCCTCGGCAGGGATCGAACTCGCGGTTTTTCGGAGGTGCAGACATGAGTCTAACCTCTTAACCACTCGGCTATCCCTGCCTAAATCTTTCAATTTGAGTTTATTCTGTCTCCAATCGTGGCTCAAGGAGGGAAACGATTTTTTTATTCGGACGATTTTGTGTATTTCCGAGCGTTTTTCACTAGAACGTCAAGGTCACTTCGTGGACCCAGCTGACATCCTCAACTTCCATAGCCCCTTAGCTAATGTTGTCCATGGCAACATTTTTCTAAAGTTAGGATGATAAGGGGAAAAAAACTGTGGTTTTGATGCATGTCTTTCTTCCCTAATTTATTGAAAATTTTGATTGATTCCTTTCCAGAGATTCCGTTGCTGCCCACGATATCGGCGAAGGTCACCTTCCAAAAACTTCAGTTCATGAATAATCTTTCGGACAAGATCTTCTTCATACCAACGTCGTATCGCGAAGATCCAACCAGATTCCCAGATTTGTAAACGCGCAAATGCTACAAGAAATTGTAGCACTACTCGCCATCATACTCTGGATTTCAAACAGTTCTACATGCAGCTACCGGATGTTCCAGTAAGTGCAAATGAACATGTTTATTAAGCCAACGCGTAGAGTACTCTCTATTTTGGTTCCCCTTCGTTTCTCCATTTCTGCACCGTGTGATTTGGGATGTTTATTGTGTGTTCATACCGAATTGTTATGCTTTTTTCGTTAACGGATTCCTTCCAAATGTATATTATACTGGTTAGGGTTCATGGTATCGTCTTAACTAATTCCATCCAAGCACCTTTTAACATAACAGTCACGATTAATTGTCCCATAGATATTATGAGGTCCATGGTATGATCGGGCAAATGCTTAGATGTAAGCAAGGGTACGCACGTCACGTTTGAGAATTCAAGAGATGAGTGGTTGTTCCAAATAGCTACAGCTCATTGAGCTGCACGCGAGGTGGTGTAGTGGGAAGTGTAGGAAAAATGCGAATTATGCTCATTTGTTTCTTAGTGGTTATATATGTAACGAATGATTAGTTAGTTTACTAAGGGACACGAAGAATTTAGTGTTAGCGTTGTGCTCTATCCCTTTGATCTTCTTTAGTCCATAACAAATAACATGGGCGCCATTCCCATTTGTTGGTTTATACTTCTTGCATCTTGCTATAGAATCGGTTTGAAAGTAATCGTTGATTTATCACCGTGATCCAGTCCAATTCCTTGTTGTATTTTCACATTATTTTTCGCCAGTGGGTGATTTCTGCGAAATGACGTTTGCCTACCGTAATTTAATCCATCCAAGGAGCATGCCAATAACTTTCCTATCTATCGTACCGCTGTGAACTAATCATACTGCTATAGGCCAATAACCATTTCAATTAGTTATTTTAGTGCGCGATGTTCACTTATTCAACTTTGTTTGCTCCAAATTGATTCTTTTCTTTCGACGAGATTATCAACGACAAAACATTCTAGTGCTGCTTTACACTCAATTGATTCCGGCTAATTGACTTATCGTTCCTGTACTTAAGATACATTTGAAATGATCTCGGGTGTAATGTATACTGCATCTCTAGTTTATATGGGATGGCAGTTTTGTATTTGTTGTGTTGATTGTAATACACAAAGTGTGTTAACGACCCTAACGGGTCGATTCACTGGATGCTCTGTGTTCAAGCTGTGCATGATTCTGTCAACCCTGTTCTTCTTCAATACGAGTTCGAATAATTGTAGCGCGATTGTTTTATTTTTACCAAGGTTTCTTTTTTTTCTGTATTTTTTCCGGGCATCGAAAGGTTCTTCACGCACCGATTGGCTGTTGTTGCCACTGCATTGTACGTTACTAACGTCTACTATTTCGAGAGTTGCCATAGTCTTTCTTTGTTTACATGCAGGCTCTCGAGAATGCTTATCGTCTTTGTCTTACATCTTTGTAATTTTTAGAACAGCATTTAATATGAAGTTCTTCAGAGACGTTCTTCTCAAAGAGTTTATCCTAATGACTATAGAGTCATAGTGGTAAGTGAATCACTCCAATGCTTCCGTCAAGAACCAACTCGGCTGTGGGCGTCAAGGGTCGACCGTCGTTGTACTGGCTGAAATGAGTATGTCCGTATCGGGATTTTGGAGGACCGAGGTCATCCTCCGTTTGTGGGTTGCTGATAGTGACGACGTGATCGTAATTATATAAGCCATACGATGGATGATACATTCTTTAGAGGAGGCTTGCGGTGGAGGAGAGTTTGGCGTTGTATGACAGCTTGGGGGAAGGGGGGTCCTTCACCTAATCAGACCTGCTACTTATGACCCCTGCTTTAATTTGCGAATGATTCCTGCTCGTTTTTCTCTGACCCTCTATGGTTTTCGACTACACTGGCACTCCAGGAACTTCAAGAACTTCAAAAATCTGAAATAGAGAATTAGAGCGTTTGCAGTTCCGTCTTCAGATATTCTCTGCTTGAAAACGGCGGGAGGAATGTCTGGAATTTTTTGAAGGGTGGTTTTGAGAGCGAAAGTTGTTGAGTTGGAGTTGTTGAGTGTGTTGATTGTCGCAAATACTGTACAGCAGGCGCTTTTCGAATGTGAGGCGTGGGGTAGGCAAGAGGGAAATTGCGGGCTGTAAGGGCTATCTCCCTAGATAATGTGAAGGTGGTGGGGTCGTGATCGGGACAGCATTCCTCAGGAGGCAGTGCGGTATCGTTCAAGCTCACTGTCAGGAACGGTGTTGGTGACGATCAGCTCTTTGTGCTCTTTTGTTAACGCCATTCCATGAAGTTGCGCTATTAGGTAGATCCACGTTTGGGGCGATCAGCTAATACCGCTCCAAGCAAGAAAAATACCCCCCCCCCCCTGGATCATGAGGGCTAATATGGCAGCCAGCTGGGGTTTGACGACTCCCTAAGAGTTGGATTGAGTCTCAGCATTTTAAAAAAGATCACAGAAGCTCCTATGAAATCATAATGAAATCTTCTTGTTGAAAAAACACTGTTAATCTATTTAGTACTTTCGCTCCACCTCCCCCTTGGACGGTGAAATGCATTTTCTCTCGTCGAAAAACCCTCCCTGGGCAGAACACTGTTTTAGAAAACTCCTGAGGACACAGGTCAGGGACAAAAGTCATTCCCGAACACATAGGAGGAGCACATAGGTTCTCAGAACGATATCATCAAGCTCGTAGTACGAGAACGCTACTAAGCTGTTCGAGTTGAGACAACGATTTGCAGAAAGCACGATTTTTTTCCAAACATTCTTGAAAGATAATTTAACACATTCACGCCGATGGCCGCCCATATGGGCTGCCAACAACATGTGCTCCTGGGACGATGGCAGCCCATATGGGCTGCCAGCTGATAATCGCTTGCCAGGCGCTAGGAATGGACAGATAGGTGGGCAAATCCGTAATCGAGTGTAAAATGCTTTTAAATTCCTTCACGGGGAAAGTGAATAAATGCTCTCTTTTCGTAACCACTATTCGTCGTTCTGATCGAAATCCTACTGTTATATGTTTAGATAATCTTTACGCATTGGACATTGCAGAAATTATTTAGGCGCCCCCTCAAACACGTCCGTCCCACGCGACCGAAAGTGGAAAAGTTGCGCGATCTTGAATGTTTCAGAAAGCATTAGTGAAATCTCAACTTCCTCTTAATCATGTTCTCCGTTACACTGGAAAAGTATAAGTTAAAGGAATCTTCGCGGAAAATTCTTGCATTCTTTCTTAACATGAATGTGTCAGTTGTGATCACTGGAAACAGCACACAAAGTTTCACGCATGAAGATTCGGTTTCCGAAGAGAAACAAACGTACAAAAACTACACGTATGGACAATCGAAGGTAATTCGGGCGGAGCCAAAGGCGAGGCATGGAAAGAAGTTGGCCTTTGGCCGGCTACGTATCAGGCGACGCAATGAAAGAATCGGGTTAAAGCGCGCGATTTCGGAGAGTAGAGACAAATCGATCGATAGAATAGGATGGAGTAGAAGTGTAAGATGTGAAT